TCCAAATGTGATTCAAGCTCTGAAAATGTTAGGAAACTCTTCACGCATCCAGGCTTGGAACATTCAAACATGCTTATATTCGAATCGTCCCAGTCATTCTCTTCTTCTGAACTCTCTGTCACAGGATCTGAGCATTAATAAACACGTGCATTATGAAGAGGGAAAAATTTTTCACTAACAATGATACCAGTTTCCCCTTGGCCCTTTAACACCAGCTGGTCAAATGAGATTTCCGTGCCACGCCCAATTCGGTACGACCTCCACACACGAATACCTTTCTCCTCAAACTGGACACTGTGAAGCTTGCTAAAACAATCTATCTTGTTCACTTCTAGGGTTATCTTTGCCTCGTCAACTTCGCAAACACATGCGGATGTACCTTTCACTGGTCTTTCAGAAAGTACCCTCCTCATGTCTCCCGTTGATAGAATGTCGTGTCCTTCGTTGCAGAAACGTCGGATGCACGTTTTCATTGGACACAGAATTGTATCACATACAGCCTTGCCATATTGTGGCTCTGAAAAGTCGTACCGACAAACTTCTAAACCAACCCGCTAACCAATTCCTCTTGCTGCTGCAATGAGGGAGTTATTATGATAACAGCCAGCTTCATCCGACCGCAGATAAACCCAGGTGATGTGAGGCTTTTCGGTCTTAATTTCTCTCAGTGTGCTTTCTATGATGGAACACACGGCGAACCAGTCCTGCTGGCATGCGTCAAACAGATGGGCATATGCCCGCAGTTCAAGACTTCCTTCAAGGTTCGGATCACGTGTGATCACCATCGAGATGTGCCAACTCAATCCTCTCTTGCCAAACTAATCTGACTGCTTCTCACGATATTTAAGCTGAAGGAACTTCATTGCCCAGTCCATTATTACCAGTGCACAGTTCTGATTAGTACTTATCGTCTTCAGCTGATCTTGCTTTGCTGCTTCCTGGTTTGCAGAGCGAACAATATGAGCCTTCCACTCAAAAATATTTGGGCCAGTTTGAAGTCGTATAGCAGATCGTCTCGATGTTCTCTGCCATAAGGGATCCAAAACGGACCTAAAACTTTGTCTTCGACTTCATCTAAGACATTTCGCAGATTTTGACACTCGTTTCAGTTCGGACTCGAATACATCTACAACTGCCGTGCACAGTGAGAGCCAAATCGTGTCGCCTTCCACGCTGTCTTCTTTCTTACGCGATTCTTACGCAAGTGGTATTCAAAAGGCATTGGCTGACAGGGAGGGACAGGAAAGTTCGACTCGAGAGCTATCATGTTCTATGGTGTGTGCTGATATGGAGGGTGTTAAACTTGATCTACTCATCCTACAGAAAAAGATAGAAGAAAATGCAAATCTCTTGTCAGCAAATATTAAAAAACAAGAGGAACTCATGGCATTGATTATAAAACGAGGTATGAACATTTGTTGTCGACTTTACGCAAAAAGAAAAGAAAACCGAAGAACTTGAGGAAAAATGCATTTCCTTTAAAAATCGAGCATTGTCCTTGGAACAAGAGAATGACTCATTAAGACTGGCTTTAAAGATCATTGTCCAAGAGAAGAATGAATGTGACAGCCGTCCACAAAAGGCGGATGATCGTTGGTCCCTTGTGGAAAACACCCATGCCGCGAACCGTACGAAAATTAAACGCAACTAACAGACAATTCCCAACAATAACACCGATACCTGCAATAGATTTGACCTCCTTGGGAATGAGGCTCAAGGTAGTTTCATCAATGTTAGCCCAACGCCAAATAACGAACCTAATAAAGACGGAAGAAACAGGATACCAAGTGTGAGACGCTCCCAGACTTAAAATTCTAGAAGCCGCACGGATAGAGCAACGCGAACCCCAGACAGTGCCAGGAATGATCCAACAAATAAATCGGCAAAGAGAAAAGAACTGTTTATAGCTGGCAATTCTATCTTAAAGAACCTTCAGGAACGGAAAATCTTGAGATCTGCAAAAGTCAAGGTATCCTCGTTCCCTGGTTGCACTATTATGGATATGAGAGACCATATCAAACCAGTTTTACGAAGAAACCCTAATGCGATTGTGATGCATGTTGGTACTAACAGCCTTCGATCAAGTGCATCGGTGCATAATTGTGCTGAGGAGATCGTTAACCTAGCCACCATGATTAGTAATGAATCCTCGGCCGATCTTGTTATATCCGGTATTATTCTGAGGTCTGATGATGAAGTCCTCGCCATTAAAGTGTCAGGTGTCAACAAGATACTTAAAACTTTTGGCAATCAAAATGGATGGGGGTATGTCGACCATTGAAATATCTCTCCTGAACATGATCTAAACAGAAGTGGTCTACACCTCAACACTAAAGGAACTGCCCGACTTGAAACAGATTTTAGTCATTAGTTAAGAGGTGATTAGGGTATTGCCGACTGGGAAACGGATGAGCCCTTGCCTCCGCAAATATATCGTAAGTACACTGACAATAAGGGCGACCCATCCACTATCAATCCATTTGGCCGGGGTTTTGTTACGGCGGCATTAAATATCAATAGTTTACTTCCACACTTAGATGATCTCAATTTTTTTTACTCGACTCCAAAATTGATGTACTGGCTATCAATGAAACGAAGATTGATAGTTCGGTCAATGATAATGAAATATACTTGCCAGGATTTGAGGTTGTTAGGAAAGATCGCTCTGTTAGTGGTGGTGGTGTTTGCATATATTTACAAAGTAACATAAATGATCAGATCCGTAACGATTTATGCGATGACCGTCTTGAATGTGTTGTCATCGAAATTATCAGACCCCACTCCAGATCTTTTATTGTCAGTACGTGGTATAAACCTCCAAACTCTCCTCAAGATATTTCTTGGCAATTTGGGTCTTTAATAGATAAAGTGGACTCTGAACAGAAAGACTTTTACCTTCTGGGTGATCTAAACTGTAATTTGCATGACGGATCAAATCATAACTCATCCACTTTAACGAACATACTTGATATATATGGACTAAGTCAATTGATCTCTGAGTCGACTAGAATTACACCCACTTCGAGTACGTTGATTGACCTCTGTATAACTAGTTCGCCCGAAAAAATATCAAAAGCTGGTGTAGTTCATTGGAGTAATTCTCTGGTCTTCGTGACTCTTAAAATCTGCTACGAGCGAACTGGTAGTCATCGCTGTATGCAGGCTTTTGAACCAGCTACTGGGTTGGATGGAATTCCCTTTAAACTCTTAAAACTTACTAGCAGTATTGTCGGGTCGTCCTTAGCATACATTTTTAAAAGCTGTATAGATACTGAAATCTATCCAAACGAGTGGAAAATTGCCAAAGTTACACCGCTGTTTAAGAAAGGATCCAAGCGTGAACTAGGGAACTATCAACCAATATCAGTATTGCCACTTGTCTAAAAATTTTCGAAAAAATTATTTATCGTCAACTTTATGATTACCTTCAGGATAATAGCCTCTTGAATACGTGCCAATCTGGATTTCAATCAATGCACAGCACGCTAACAGCGCTGCTTAAGACAACGAACAACTGCACATACATCCTCCTCAATCCTGTTAGCTTACTATGGTCATGGCATTTCAAAGATGGTGTATATGCCACAAGCTTTCCATGACTAATTATTTTGTAATAGTGTTTATATGCTGAGGAAATGGTTGGGTTGAAGTGTAATACAAAGACTTGCCAGTAGATAGTTTTATTACAGTTTTTATTCAGTGTAACGTAGGGCTGGAAAATAAACTAATAAGAGCTCCGCTTTTAGGCTTGGCTAAATCTATATATTATTGACAACGGCCTTTGATACAATCGATCACGAAATAATTTTGGGGAAACTTGCGAACTATGGGGTTGATCAAAGTGCTTTACAATTTTTTGCGTCCTACTTATGTAATACATCCCGAAAATGCAGTTTCAATGGAGCGTTATCCAGTGCAAATAGATTAACCTGCGGGGTTCCCCAGGACCTGGGACCTCTGCTCTTTTTAATATATATAAATGATCTTCCTAATTGCCTCGATATTTCCTGCACAAAAATGTTTTCCGAAGATACTAACATCACCTTCCCTGGTTGCACTTTTGCCGAACTCGAACAAGCAACAATTTCTGAACTTAACAATCTTTACAACTGGCTAAAAGCCAATAAGCTTAGTCTAAACATTTGCGAAAACTGAGTTTATGGTGATTAGTACTCGTCAAAAGTTTCTTGCAGAAAATTGTAGTGAGATTAATATCCAATTAGATGGCCATCAGATTTGCAGGGTTGAGCATGCCAAGTCATTAGGTTTAATTATCGATGACCGACTTTCATGGTCTAATCACATCAAAGAACTATGCAGAAAGATATCCTCGGCAATAGGTGCTCTGAGGCGCATTAGGTCCCTCATTTCTCAGTCCACTGCAGTCCAAATATATAACGCTTTAATCCAACCTCATTTCGATTACTGTTCTCCCGTTTGGGATGGATTGAGTTCTTATCTATGTGAGAAACTACAAAAATTGCAAAACCAAGCAGCTAGGGTTTTTCTGCAAGCCAACTGTGAGGTAAACTCAAGCCTGCTTCTTGAAACTTTGAAGTGGGACCAGTTATCGTTAAGAAGAAGAAAGCAGAAAGCTATAATGATGTTTAAATCCCTCAACAGGTTAGCCCCAGTGTACTTGCATGATTTATTCCTTGAGCAACACACAGACTATGACTTGCGTGATTCTTTCCGTAAGTTAAACTTACCCAAGCCGCGTACTGACTATTTGAAACGTAGCTTTGGCTATAGCGGTGCCTTACTGTGGAATTCTCTTCCTGAGAATATTAGGGCGATTAGATCAATTGGGCAGTCTAAGAAGGAAATCAACTGCGCACTTGAAACATTCGATTCCCACTCGGCAATATTGTAAATCAGCTTTTATAGTTATTTTAATTTTTAACAAATGATTGTAATTAAAATACTATTAGTATAACTGAAGATTCTTAACCGAGTTAAAATAAAGATCTACTACTACTACTATCAAGCTCGGCTTTGAGCTTGGGCCTAATGGCGAATGGCACTCGTTGCGATGGTGCAATGGTGGGGGGCATGAAAGGGTCAACGTCGAGGTGTTGTAATCCTTCTAGTGTCCCCAAATCACCCTCAAATACGTCACGGTATTCTTCAATGATTTCTTGGGTTGTCTGTTGCTTCGTGCTTGCAATTCTTGCTGCGGCCTTTTTTCCGAAGTTTTTTTCGTGCACTTTTCGTGCAGGCCCATCTGCTGTATTACTGCTGCACCCGGCAGTGGGGTCAAATTCTCGTTGACAACAATGAACTCGACTGAGTATTTTTTCCGATTTCGTGGATTGCGTATGGTCACGCGACAAATTCCTTCAGGTTTAAGTTCAGTCTTATTCCACAGTTGCAAAACACGTTTCGTCAGGTGGATATCTTCTTTGTTGACGTACTTGATCGGCAGAACATTAACGGTTACACCACAATCAATACGGAACTTAATGAGCTGTTCATTGATAAGCATCTGTGCGTAAATTTCGGGTTCCGAGACACTGGGGGTCATCCAATAAAAGAATTCGTCGTCGCTGGTTTCGCCTTCTTCTAATTCAACATTGTGTGCTTTCTCTTTTGCTTTCGAATGGGACGCAAAATGGTTCTTCTTTCCACATGCTCCACAAACGCAGCCCCAAGCGGCGCAATTGGCTCTGCCTCTACGATGTTTTCTCCCACAGAAATCACACGGCTTGCCACTCGTACACATCTTGTCATTATTATATTTCTGGTTCGGATTATCTCAGTTTGTTTGCTTCGGATTTTTGCGTTCTGATTTCTTTGGTTTCGTTGTTTTCACTTTATGGACATCTGAGGTTCTGGAGAAGTTTGGTCCATATTCTTTATCTGTGTGTTTGAGACTTCATCACTCTTAGCGATCTCAATGCACTTTTGCACCGTTAGTTTGCCCTGACGCAATAGACGTTTGCGCGTGCCTCTGTCGCGTAGGCCAAGAACGATCTGATCCTGGATAAGTGTGTCGTGTAAACACGTGCAGAAATTGCACGATTGTGCAAGTGTTCTCAGTTCTCCTACGTATGTATCAATGGATTCGCCTTCTTTCTGGTCACGGCTATTGAATACGGAGCGTTCATACATTTCATTGGTTTCTCCACTCACGAACTTGTCAAATTCCTTGATTATCTCCGAAAGCTTGTGCCGGTTTGCTTCGCTCAGATCAAAGCTGTTGTAAATCTTGACTGCAGCGGGCCCTATCGAGTAGAGAAATAATGCCACTCTGTACTCTTCTGTTTGCCTTTCTAGCTGTGCTACGATCGAGTAGTTCTCCCATTGCTGCTTGAAGACTTTCCAGTTTACAGCCTTGTTTCTTGCAGACAGGAATGGCCTGTAGGTGGCTCTATTCCTTGCATCATCGGCGAGAGAATCTTTTCTTTGAGTTTCGCTCGAAGACGGTGGTAGATCTGGCATTTTCTTTTCTTGTCTGAACGGTTTCGAGGTTCGTTGCTACACTCAAAATCACACGATGTGAAGGTTTGACGAGCGCTCACGCTGCCACCACATTTCGTTCCATACTCTTTCATTCACTCAAATCGAATAGCGTGTACACAAGATCACGTGATTCATAACGCATGAATTAGCATACTTAGACTAGCAGGCATTAGCCACGTAACAGTTCTGAGGACATCTTTGAGACTTTAAGCAAATTCAAATGACGCGACTAGACTAGGATGTGACTAGGAGAGCTTCCATCAAGTTCTTTATTTCAGATAGTTATATTTCCCAAGAGTGAGGTGGAATGGAACAATGGGAGGAACAAAAGTAGGAACAGGCAAAGACTGAGTAAATAAATGAATGGTTTGAATTCAATTGAATTTGTACAGAAACCTTGTACAAGGTACACTGATTACATGTAATAAGAGTAGACTTAGAAAATGAACTGACAAAATTGAAGAAATTAACTACTGAAGGTAACGAACTGTTAGGCAGGGAAAACATACCTCTTTTGTGGCACTGGGTGAAACTGTTAAAGTGTTCGAAGGCATCCTAAACAGAAATTATGAAGTGACTGATGCAAGCCAAAAGACTAGAAAAAGAAAATCTGTCTTGCAGCAGCAAATGTTTAAAATTAGAAACAACTGGTATGCAGAGGAGGCATAGACACCCTAGGATAACTTAATAAAAAACTCCTTCATGCTGAAAAGCTAAGGTAAATTACCTCTGAAGGGGTGATACGGAAATATTTACCCTCACTAATTAACCTAATCATTGTGAAGTTTCCCACTAAGGTAAAATAAAATACTTGTACTCTATATGACATACAGAAAGAACCAAAGAGAAGACAGTAGTTATGTACTAGTGATACCTCTCTGGTGCCATGCACCATAGCTAATTAATCAGCACTTAATCTTTACCCATAGGTTTAATAAACAAATCCTTGGAATGGAGTAAACCTATGTAGACTTGTGAAGTTTTTAAAATCATGCGATTAATTGGTTAGCAGCAATTCATCTATGTTCATTGGTTATATTAATAATCCCCTCACTGTTGTTGGTGATGACCAATGTCTCCTATCGTTTCTCGTTAGATCACATATAATTGTCCTATAAATTAACATGAGTAGATAGCCTAGCAAAGTAGGGATGAATAGATCAACAACACGGAGGTATCTCCAAAATCTCTCTCTATAAGGCTACTGGTTCATCCTGGTGCTGTCATCTATTTGTTTGTTTTTTCGGCTGTTTTGTTGACTTCTAATCTTCGGAAAAAAAAAAACCTGTATCTGGCAAACTCAGTGTAGAAAGAGTTCAGAAGTGTTTTGTCAAGCAGTCTTCTCTTAAGCCTCTCTTGTGACTTCCAAGAGTAGTGCAATGGCCAAATACTGCCATGCTTGCTTTATCACTTCTTTTGCAATAAACAGATTTTCTGAATATTGACTCTCAGTGATCTGCAGTAAAACAAAGTAAGTGTTGAACAAATGATTTAATTGTAAAATGACTTAAGTAGTTACTCTTCTTTATAATGTGAGACCAAGTTACACCCAAATCAGTTCAATGGCAATACTTGAACAATTTGAAATCATATAAAAAACAATATCGATTGACATGTACACATACCTCATAAGAACAATAGAAATAATAATAATAATAATAATAATAGTAATGATTTATTGCAGAGTATCCAACAAAGTGAGGTTCTTCATCTACAATATCTACACTATAAATCAAATCTAAAAAAAACACAAAGTGTTATTGACAAATTAAAAAATAAAATAACGATTGTGTTTGCTGCTTAAAGTTCCTTACATAAAAGATGTCTCTTCAGACTATGACAGAAAGAATTGTACTCAGTTATGTTTCTAATAGCTACAGGGAGCTTATTAAAAGTAGTTGCTGCAGAGTGCTGAAATATTCCTGATTATCTTGGAATAGAAAGAACAGGCACAATCGAAGATATTAAGCTATAGGCACTGACCTTGTGTAGATTTAATCTAAGGTATTCAGGAAACGTTTTGTCATATAGCCACTTATGAGTTAACTTAAGTATATTTAGTCCAATGTTCTTATTCACTGGAAACCAGTTCAACTTGGCAATGTCCTCCACTCCTGTAAATATTCTTGTGACAAATCCAGTGCATGCATTTTGAAGTCATCGAAGGTGCTTCATTTCAAATGCCGGAAGGGGGTGGGAAACAGAGCATACATAGTTCACTTTAGTGAGGACTAAGCTCTCTCCCAGGTGAGAAGGGGCTAGATTTTTAAGCCTGTACAGTACTGACAGTGAACCATAACTTAAACATGGTCCACATGCATCTTCCAGGTCAGGTGCTGGTCCACATGCACACCCAATAGGAAATCCGTTTTAATGGAGTATTGCCACAGACAATGGGAAGTTTTCGTTCTTCTAAACTGTGATATCATGCTGTCTATGGGGTTGCATATAAGCATCCAGTCTGTCTTGGAATAATTTTCTTAAAGAAAATAACCGTAACATTATTACAAGAACTTCAAGACACAAAATTGATAGAATAATGATAATTACAACAGTAGTTTCTTCAGGCTCTCCAAATCATGAGTTTGGTTTTTAATTCTACAAAACAATTTTTCCCTGGCACTGTGTGTATGTAGTGAATGCTCTAATAGATTTTCAAATTTTAGTTACTTAACCAGTGGTTTCTGGAATACATGAAGGATTTACTTAAAACACAGTAATTTACCATCTAAACCACAACGCAGACACAGGGTTGGGGTTCTCACTCACTCACTCATGCCCATTCTCTGTCATCCTCCAGCATTCAGAGCCATATAGTAGGGTGGACATCACACAGCTTTGGTAGATCTTCAGCTTGGTCTTGGTGATGTACTGAGAGGACCTCCACACGTTGTTGAGCATTCTGAAGGCATTTCTGGCCTTGTTGAGATGGTGAACTCTTCAGTTGTTGGCAGGTCTTCTCCATTCACATGAACTGGTTAAGGGTTGGATACGTTCAGCAGCATCACTTCTATCTTCTTTTGGCTGATCTTCAGGCCAACTTGCTGTACGTAAGTGCTGAGTCGGGTTTTCTTTTCCTGCATGTGAGACCAAGGCTGGATCATCTCCAAAATCTAGGTCTTCCAGCATTGAGACGAGGGTCCATCTGATGCCCGTGACGGATCTTCTGTTGTGCAGCTCATTACCCAGGCAATGGTCATGTCGAAGAGCATCACTGACATTGTACAGCTTTGTCTGACAGCAGTCTTCACTTCAAAGTTGGTTTCGCTGTTGCCTACTCTGCATGTGAAGTTGTTGTAAAGCTTTTTGTGATGTCGATAATCGACTATGGTATCCCATAGGCCCAAAGGATGTGCCACAGACTTTCCCAGTGCACGCTGTCAAAAGCCTTCTCAAATTCTAAAAAGTTGATGTAGAGTTGTCTCTGCCACTCTGTGCACTGCTCCATGATGTTACACAGGGTGAAGATCTGGTATGTGCATCCCTTTCCTTTCTGAAACCCTGCCAGCTCTCTTCTCAGTTGTTGGTCCACCGTGTCAGCTTCATCTTGGCCAGGATCTTGCCGGGTACAGATAGTAAGGTAATTCCTCGCCAGTTGTTGAGGGCACCTTTCTTCAGAATCTTCACAATGACTCTGTCTGTCCAATCTTCAGGTAATTTCTTCCCCTCCCTGATGTCTGTAAAGAGCAGCTGGAGTAAGTTTGCTGTTAGCTGTGGATCTGCTTTAAAGACTTCTGCACTGAGATTGTCTTGTCCAGGGGATTTTTCCGTTCTTGAGGGACTCGATGGCTGCAATGATCTCTTCTTTTCCTGGGGATGGGTGTTGACATCCAGGTCTGTCTCTGCCTCTTGTATATCTGCCTCTGTTGGTGGTGGTGGTCTGTTCAGAACTTCACTGAAGTGTTCCATCCATCGTGTCTTGCTTAGATTCTGTTGTGAGTAGTCACCCCTGCTTGTCCATGATCAGAGTGTCAATGCCTCCTCTGTACCTGCCACACACCAGTTCAGTGATCTTGAAGACTCTGCCTTGCTCTCCCCTGCTTGCTGCATCTTCTGCCTGGCTTGCAAGGTCGTTTATGTGGAAGTGACGAAAGGAACTATGAAAGGGCCATTGGGAGAGGAGGATGTGGCACCATGAATGACAATGGAGAGAGGCCACTGGAAATTTGCACCACCTATGATTTTGTTATTGGAGGGACGCTCTTTCTACACCAAGACCTTGTACTCCCCCAACGGAAGAGACAAGAACCACATTGACCACCTGATGATCAACAGGATGTGGAGGTGATCACTGCTAGACGTCCAAGAGAGAAGAGGAGCTGATGTGGGAAGTGACCACCACCTTGCAACCGGATCCAGTCTAAGAGGGTGACAACACTTTGGCGTGGAGAAGCTGTGAGACCTTAAAGTAAAGACTGCCTTCATTCTACAGCTGAAGGCTGAAGAATAAGTTCCAGGTACTGGCAGATGGTGAAGACCAGATGCAGGAAGGCTCAGGAGACATCAATGCAAAGAGCAACAGCTTAAGATAGCCTACGAGCAGACCTTCAAAGCCTGCCTTGGAACAAAGCAGAGGAAGGTGAAGGAGTAGATCACAGAGGATACCTGGCAAGCCCTTGAGAACAGAAAAACTCTCAAGAAGAAAGGGTTGGGGTTCTGGCAGTCTTTATCACAAAGTGTTATTGACAAATATAGAATCTATATCGACATACACAATTAAAACCCTATAAAGTACAATAGAAATCAACTAGGTAAACTCACTATGATGGCGCCAAAAAAAAAGACAAAAAAAAACTAAAACACTTGACTGCCCAGGAAGTGGGCGGGTGGGCAAATAATTCCATATAGATGCTATAGTAACTGCTTGGAATGCTGTACCAATACCTATCAAATAGTCTAGGAAAAGTAGACCATGTAACCTAATTACCCTAAGGGTGTTGCAACTGTAGGCAACTGATTGGTTCTTAAAAGTCTTATGACTATCAGCATACGATAAGGTCATATTCATATGACTGTACAGTATTGCTTAAGCTTGAATAAACTAGAAGCCAGTCCTTACTCTCTTTGAATGCTCACGCTGTAGTCTAGATTTATATTAATAACCAGTTATCAATATCCACGATAACAAACAGATAAATGAAATTAAACAAGAGAGGAAAGCATCCAACGGGTTAGGAAACTTGTACAAAATGACATTGAGGCACTCAAGGACAAATTCTGACTGATAATTAGTTGGAGTAAAAACGTATTTAAATATTCTAAAACCATGCAGAGTGGTGACCTCTGAAAGAATTTTCAATATGGTAGTTATCAATGTATAATGTGAAGAAATGTAAAACACATCCCAGTTTTCAAGGCATTGTTTGAGGGAAAAATGAAATTTACTTGTCTAATTAATGCACAAAAACCCTTTAAACATGAAGACTACAAAGGTGGTACATTTCAAAAGTTCAATAATAATGAGGTTCAACTTTAAAAAAGCAATACTTTCAATTTACATTCTTTGGTATTGAAATAAAGAAGCCTATTTCAGAGTATGATAACCTTTGAAGCAAAGACATCATCAGGTGACAAAAGAGTTATTACGAACAAAATCATGTGTACAGCTACATTTTTATAGGAACTTTGACAGCATTTCTCTTGAAATGTCTTCATGCTTTGCCGTTCCAATAGTATACCAGGTCTTTGGGCAGTTTTTTTTGACCACTCTGTATTAGTTTGTGTATTCCTTCTGTCATTTATGTTGTCCAATTCTGCTATACTCAGTCTTTGGATGGTTTGTTTGAACAAACATCCAAGGTTTGCCGCATGCAAGGTAGCCCTCTGGTAATGGCAATTAAATTGGTGTATTCGTGTCTCAACAAATACTTCACTTGCACAGTCTTGTGAGCTTCAAAAGAATTAAGTACAAGAATACTCCTTTGCTTTCTAAGTCCTCCAACTCAAGATCATAAAACTCTATTGATCCAAAGTTTTATAATATCTCTATTTGTGAATACTTTATCTTGCACTACAACAACTTTATGTTGTTATGTCATGCTTTCCTGGGCAAGATCAAAAACGAAAATATACAAACATAAAGAGTTAAAGCCCAAAAGGGACACTCAGACCCATGCAGGGTGCCTACCTAAGGAAATATAAGAATTTAAAATATACACCAAAAAACTATAATCTAGTTGTAATAAGAGGAAAATCTAATTGTAGAAAAATTTAATTGTACTAAATTGTCATCTAAATGTAGATAAATCTAATGGTATTAAAAAAATAATAATAAAAAAGAGAAATATATGAAAAATAAGATATATATGTTCAGTTTGGGACATGAAGATTCGTAAGATATTAACCATGAGCAGACCATGTCCACATCAACAACATTCATTAAAGGAGACTATAAGATCTAATGTGCTTCCAGATATGTGTGTCGAACCAGTTATGAACTGCTGGAGGAAATTATCGTCAATCAGCTCACAAAATATATTATCCATTGCATGACTGCCAGCACTTAAAGAGACCGGTAAATCGGTGGACCAGTTGATAGGGGGTAAATTAACACCTCCTACCAAAACAATAGAACTTGACTCAGCACTGTTCGGAAGAGAAAAGTTGAAATCATGAAGAATCTCGAGTGAAGAACCAGGTGGGCAATAAAAAGTGTACATGTTTAGACCGCTGTTCATATTTGGATTTGTTAGTTCGGGCCTTTGTTTGCCCGTCGCTTTTTGTGACACTTACATGACATTTTGTTATATCATGTCACGTGATTAGTTCGCACATGGTCGTTCGCTAGGACACAGCACAGATTGTAAGTGTTTCGTTCTTTGCCATCCTTTTGCTGGTCTTTAGTTTCTCTTAGCCTTTTTCTTATAGCAGCCTTTGTTTGCCTTTTATTGTAGTTTTCACCGTTAAACAAGTTCATTTAGTTTGCATATTCGTATGGAGAGATATGGAGCGAATAAAGCGAGCATTTACGTAGTCAAACGAGTCGAATACCTGTGTAAAGCCCAGTAACAGCGAACGCCATAGACGCCACCACAGTACAAGATAACTGGAATATAGTTAAGTGTTTTAATTTCAACCATGATCAGTTCAGTGTTCTCTCTCTCAAGATCCAAATGGCAAAAGGCCTATAGGTCAGTTTTGATAGCGACCAATACATGCGTCCTTCTCTATAGTATAATCTTTATTTAAGCACGAAACAATTCATCAGCAATTACATTAACTAAAAGTATTTAAAAATTAAAACACTAACTAATAACTAAAAGCTGTTTTCCGTGAATGCCGTGCGTTATAGAGTGGCATTGATCTTGCGTTTAAATAACCCCAGAGACTCTGTGTTCCTTATATCACATGGAAGACTATTCCATAATGTGGCTCCACTATAGCTAAAGCTTTTTCGATAATAGTTAGTGCGAGGTAGAGGAACATTGAGTTTATTTTCAGAGTCCCTGAGGTCATAAGCAGAGTTACGCCATCTAAACTTAGAATTAAGATATTCAGGAGCTAGCCCGTGCAGACATTTGAAAACCATGGTAACTCTATGAATTTCCTGCTGGCTTGTCAGATTTTTCCAACTTAAAAATTCAAGTAGCTTAGTTGCATCGGCATCATAGCTGGAAAATGTCAAAACACGGGCTGCTCTAATCTGTAATTTCTGCAGCTTATCTCGTAGCGTTCTCCCACAGCTACCCCAGACAATGTCACAGTAATCAAAGTGAAGTTTTACTAAAGCTTGGTAAAGCAGATGTAAGGTCGATGCTGGGATCAGATGCCTGACTCGCTCTCGATACCAGAGGCAATCTTTTTTGTTAATTTTTCGATGTGACTATGCCAATCGAGCCTATCGTCTATAATCACACCAAGCGATTTTGTAGAAGTAACCTGGCTCACCTGAGTGCTGTTCATTCTAATTGTTGGTGAAGCTGTGAGAGTACCCAGTCTCTGCCTTGACCCTATTAGCATGAATTCGGTTTTTGTTATATTCAGTGTGAGTTTATTCACTTGTAGCCAGTTGAAAACGTTTGTTAAGTCCTCATTCAGACAAAGCTGTATACTCTCAAGATCACCGCCCGCATATGTAAGGTGTGTGTCGTCAGCATACATCCTCGGCTCACAATTTGATAAACAATTTGGAAGATCGTTGATATATAATAAAAACAATAGTGGACCGAGGATGGTCCCCTGGGGGACGCCGCAAGTTAATGAGCAGCTGCTGGACAGCGACCCGTTCACAGAACATTTCTGTGTGCGGTTTTCCAAGTATGACTGAAACCATTTGAAAGATTTGCCATGTATACCATAATAGTTTAATTTCGATAGGAGGATCTGATGATCAACAGTGTCAAAAGCTTTTTTCAAATCTAGAAAAATGACTCCATTGATTTTCCCGATGTCAATATTATATGCCCAAGAATCTGTCGCTTCCAACAATGCTGTTACAGTTGAATGAGTAGCACGAAACCCTGATTGATTTTGATATAGAATATCATGTTCTTCCAGATAGGCATACAATTGATCGTAAACTATCCTTTCAAACACTTTCGCCACTATTGGAATCACCGATATTGGGCGGTAATTGTTGTCATCATCGCGGTTACCCTGTTTAAAGAGAGGTGTAACCCTTGCATATTTCCAATCATCTGGGAATTTCCCTTGGCTAATAGATTGATTGAAAATATCACATATTGGCACACAAATAAGGTCAGCGCATTCCCTGACAAACCTAGCAGATATTGTGTCAAGGCCCGTTGCTTTTGACTTGTCTAGTTTATTTAAAAGTGAAAATACTTTATTTGGATTAGTAGGTTGGAGCTCAAACCATTTATCTGTACCGGCAAGATATCGTTGATAGCTACTACTATCACAATCTATCTCACTGGCAAGTTTTGGACCAATATTAGCAAAATGGTTGTTGAATTCGTTTGATAGCTCCAGTGGATAAGTTATCGTTAATCCATTCACTTTTAGTGATGTCACTGACATTTTCCCAGATTTACGTGAAGTTAGCTCGTTTATAGTCTGCCAAGTCTTTCGGGAGTTGCTAGTGTGCTTGTTAAAAATATTTTGGTAATAAACTTGCCTTGCTAAGTGTACTTGCTTATTGACTAAATTTCTTTGTTTCTTAAACACTGCCCAATCGTTGGGATCATTTGTTTTGGTTGCTTTGATTTTTAATATATCTCTATTATGCATCAAGTCTTTCAACTCAGCGGTAATCCACGGAGAACTTCGTGAACGAACGCGCACCGTTTTCAGTGGGGCATGTTTGTCAGCGATAGCTAGAAATGTACATTTCCATCGCTGCCACATCTCGCTTGGGTTGGAAGACTCATATACATTATTCCAACATTGAGAGTGAATATCATCTCGAAAATTTTGGCAATCGAATTTTCGGAAATTTCTGTATGTTATTGAATTATGTCCATTCGACATCCCGTTCAGAGCAAGTTTTCTATAAACATACACCATGCTATGATCACTTATCCCAACATGACAAACTCCCGAACAGGCGATCTTATCCGAGCAGTTGGTGTAAATTAAATCAATTAAAGTTGACGAGGTGGGTGTTATCCTTGTCGGTTCAGCGATGAGTTGCTCGAGTCCGTAGACATCAGCAATATTCTTTAATTTGGATGTATCATTGTCATATCGTGCAGTGACCATGTCACAGTTCATGTCTCCCAGTACAAAAAATTCTACATTTTCACTATCCAATTTCCCAATTAGGGATTCAAAAGGTGAAAAAATGCCAATAGGAGAGTCAGGTGGTCTATACCACGTAACAATCACAAAAGGTCTTGTTTTTGGCTTATGGATTTCCAAGCAAAGATTCTCTAATGCATCCATATGTAGATCAGATCGTACTGTAAAGTTGATTGAATTTTTAATGTAGAAGCATACCCCCCCGCCGCCTTTCGTAAGTCTATTGCGGCAAATTATTTCGTATCCCGGAATATGAACTTCATGATCTTGAATGCTCTCGTTCAGTTTTGTTTCGTTTATAGAAATAATATTGATATCGTTGTTTGCTAATAGGATTCTTAGTTCGTCTATATGTGTAGTTAATTGATTTATATTGAGTGAGGCCATTCTAAAGCCACGCAAAGGTGGCAATATTGAGGCAGATTTTACGCCCCTTGATTGATTTCGCACGGCATTGACGGACAGCACATTATCTCATTCTAGGTGCGATTTAAATTTATTATAAAACTGCACATTACCTTTAGAGTTTAAGTGCAGTCCACCTTTGTTGAGTCCATTATAAGATATGTTCTCATGATGAATTAATTTCCATCCGTTTTCAGGGCAGAACTTCTTTAGATGCTTGTTGGCTGTTTTTTCCGGCTGGTCAAGCTTATCTTTTCTGCATACAAGCCCCGACAGCGTGACTGTAGTATCGCAGGTGCTTTCGATCTGTCTCGCGAGGTCGACTATCGATTCGGCAACAGCCTTTGGTTCCCTGGTTTTAAGATCATTAGTCCCAATGTGTAAAATCACTTCGTTGGGCGAAAATTCCAGACTTGGCTTGAAATAGTGATTCATGGCCTTTGTCGTAGCACCCGAGAAAGGCTTGACTATAACCCTATGGCCCACTGCTTTTCCCAGGTCTCTTCCAGGTATTCTTGAGATCATCGAATCGCCTATGAGCAGGGTTGTGCGCTCTTTCGGTTGTTTTAGATCTGTTCTGGTCGGTTCGGATTCCTTTTCCTTCTGGAATGTTATTAAGACCTCCTTGGTTTTTCGATTTCTTTCTTTTCTTCTTTGATTTCACAATGGAGTCTTGAGGTTTGTTGGCACAAGGTGTTGGCTCGTCCAAGTTTGGGACAATAGTGCGTTCATTAGGGGTGTTATTCGTTGGAAGGCATTGTGCAGCTGCTTCTCTAGATACGATTTGCAATGCAAAATTTAAAGAATCGCGTTCTTGGACTAACTTTTTATTTTCTTCCTTCAAAGAAAGAATTGTTTCCTGAAGTCGAGAATTTTCGGATCTCAGATCTTCCTCTTGAGGTTTCTCTTTTACATGAGCCCATAAGTTTAGAACTTCAGATTTTAAGAAGTCCAACTCCTGTTGTACTGATTTGGCGCCGTTCTTGTTAAATGCCGGTGTATTGGCTTCTTCTCTTACGAGAATAACCGAGTCGTCATCAACCGGTAGCTGAAGAAGCTTTTTCAGCTTAGCTTTTAACGTTTTCGCTTCAGGACCTTGGACTTGAAGGGTGCCGGTACTGTTAAATAAAACCAACGTGATTGTCTTCGATTTCAAAGTACTTGACCTTTCAGAGGTACTCGCGGTTGTAGAAACTTCCAGATTCAAATCTTTGAAACAGAACTCTTGAAGTTGTGTAAGGCTCCCTTTCCATTTGAATAGACTTTGTTTGTCGTCCCAAAGTAGGTATTGGTTTGAGGAAAGTAAGGAAGATTCAATGCCAACAAATTCGACAGAACTCGCGGAGCCCTCGGAATCACGTCCGCACGCCATCATTACTCTCTAGCGCTAGTCAAAACTTCAAACTTTAAAAACATTTGTGTTCTGTGATTGTCCCTTTGTGAGGTAAAAATCTGGTCAGTAATAATTCAGCAACATTCTACCACGCGGGAGAAGAAGAAAATTGCCTTTTTTCTGTTTTGT